TCAGCAGGAGACTTCTGAGCAGCGTTTGCACAATTCTGATTCCATGCATAAACACAGTCTGCTGAAGTTAGCAATATTACTGTCAATTTACACTAGTTCCTGATTACACGTGTCTCTGCAGAGGTACATGATACTGAATTAGTCAGCTGTTACAGGCTTCTACCAACATTTTAGTAAACTACATTGTCATTCATTTGTTAAATACTGAGAAAATCGCTACCTGGTTTCTAGTGAATGCAGTTCTTGGTCTTCTACCCCTGTACCAGTTCAATTCTCGTTTGAAAGAGAGCCTTTCAGCAACTGAAAAATATTTTTCACAGTTCAAAACTTTTTCCTCTTGCACTGGATTACTGTTAGCATGAAATAATGGATTTTCATAGTAAACAGGGATTTGCAGATTAGTGTCATCACCTAAAACTAGAAAAAGCAAGTGAACAAGAGCATCAGTTGATTGGGTTTCAGTAGAAACACGAAAATACATGCATTTTTTAGGAGCAAAAGCTTGAGAGGTTACTTGTTACAGACTGCTGACTTACCCAAGCTGGGGCATGCATCCATCCCTGGTCTGTGATGTTTCACAGCTGGAATGCCATCTTTCTTCTGCTCTAGTCCCAAAATACTTTCAATGGAAAACGAGCACTGCGTGGTTTTATTCTCCACAAAAGTAGGCACTTGCCGAAGATTCTGAGCCGCTGCTGTATTGGCAGCACATAGCGATGTACTTGCCATGTTCTCACCTTCAGCCAGCACAGCCTGTGCACTGTACCTGCATTTCTCTGCAAGTCCTCCTTATGTTGACAAGAGGGCTGGGTTTGCAACGTCATTAATTAAAATCTTTTATCAGAAAGTTTTAGCATGTCAATGAAAACTCTCCCACCAAGCAGCATGAGGAGTTAATTGTTTATTTGTTTGCAAGTAATTAGCAACTAATGGTAGCACTAGGGGGGCCACCAAGAGGGACAAAAAGTGTTATCTCTCCTCACCAGAACATCGACTTAACTTTCTCAAAAGAAGCTGCGCACAAATATAGTACTTCTCTTTTATTTGAAATCAGTAATGTATAAAATCAGTTTTTTAAAAAACTTTATACTCTAATGGACTCCACTTACCTAAATATAGCAGCATGATAGGAAACCAGTCAAGTAATAAGTAATCTCATTTAAGTGAATTTCCTTCCAAGGAAATTTAAAAAATAATCTCTTAATGCTATTAGGGTAATCCCGATGAAAATGCCTCTGTTTTTTCATATGCATATGTAATGGTGAACGTGGTCAATAAAACAACAATAGCTTTTGGCATAAGGCACTGTGCAGTGGGTTGGCAATGTTGTCAAAGCTCAGTGTAATTGCCTTCCAAGTGTCTGGATTAGTTAACAGGAACAGTTGCACCAACTATTTTAAATAATTCATGCATTCTTTTTTTCTAATTAAAATAACTATGTTGAAGCTTTTTTTCTTGAAACACGAGATCTGCAAAATTTCCTGTTTGTTCTTTGCAACAGAAAACCAAAACTCAAAAGCAACAGAAGCAGTACACTCAAAGGTATTGGTTTAAAAACATCCATTTACTGCTAGATATTCCTCCCTTCCTGTAGGTTTATCACCAATAGAAATTTAAATCCTACAGTGCAAACACTTAAAAGAACCAAGAACCATGAGTAATGAGGAAAAATAAAGGGTTTGTAATGAGGTTCAAAATCTGAAAACAGAATTCTTATTTACTCTATTATAAAGAAAGTACCAGCTATAACAGTTTTATATTCAAGCTAACCTATCAGGCACACAGCAGTTTACCTGTCACATGTTCAAAACAAGCTTTTGGTTCAGGACAACCTCTGCACAGAGCTTCCTCTTTTTCTCATTTTGCACAAAGCTTTATCTCATAATATGCAAAACCAAAAATAGTATTTTAATTTCAGGATACAAAAGTTACTTGTCTGAAATAAAACTTTTAATTCAGAGCACATGAGCATGTAGGCCTGTGCTTTTAGAGGAAAAAAACCTGATCCTCTATTTTTTGGTTTGTCTGTTTCTTAGAGTAGTTTATTCTGTGCCATCAGTCACATTCACATGGCTAACAACTAATATCAAGGAAATAAACTGTACCTCCACCTTGATTTTCTATACATTTCTAAATAACCCAAGAGTAATCCTTATGAATAGACAGAAGCAAGAAAATTGTTAAGGAAACAGTACAGTCTAGAACTGACCATGATGAGCTGAGGTCTACAGAGAAAAATGCAATCCATACATAGCTTTCTATCCATAGATCATAGAATGGCCTAGGCTGGAAGGGACCTTAGAGGTCATCTAGTCCAACCTCCCTGTCATGGGCAGGGACACCACCTCTCGACTAGACCTGTCAACACAAGGAGACCGAGCAGGAATCGAACCCGTGACCTCAGTGTTGGTCCTTGTTGCCAGCACCGTGCTCAAACCACTGAGCTAACCGGCCCTCCAAGTTCCACCAAACATAATACAGGTTGACTTACTGGACTGACTCTGTGTTGTGCAATGGGATTGTTAGCAAAGCACACTATGTAAGAGTGACAATTTAATCAGTGTTCTAAATGAGGACACCTTGTCAGCACTTATCAATGGATCTTGAGGTGGCAGCAACACAACTGCAGTGACCACCTGCAAGCGGCCCTCCAACCATCGTTTAACAGCCTCTGCAACCACCAAGTGTAGATATACAAAACACCGACGAGGACCGACGTACAAAACCACTACTCGCTGCAAGATTTGGTGACTATTTGGTCAGTGCGAAGCAGTGGCAAGCAGCAGCCTCGTAGCCCTTTATGTTTCAGCACAGCTATTCCCAACAAGGCAACCTGTGACCTTAACAAAGCAGCAGGACTCCTTTTCTTAGCTGCAAGCAGTTATCTTGAGTATTTGGACTGCACGGCAGGTACAGAGGTTACTGAAGAGATAAAGCAAAGCCTCTTATACAGCAGTGATTGGTAGATCAGTTTTCTACCTCTAGAGTCTCTACATGGAACACCAGTTGTCTTGTGCTTTTTTTTTTTAAAAAAGTTTAAAAAAACCCCAGAAAATACATTAAGTCAAAAAGGAAACAATGAATCTCCTTCTGAACCTGGAGCTGCTTCTCTATACGAAAGAGATAAAAAGCATGATCACTTGTAGACAGCCACTTGAATTCAGAAATAACGATAAAGAATAATACAAAAAATCTCTTAATGGCTATAAAATAATAGCTAGATTCCAAGTACAGCCCGTGAATTTTATTTTTTTTTAGAAACTTAGAAAAACCAACACAAGCACTGATACAAAACACATGGCAGAAAATATTTATTTCTCATGGATGAATATGAATGAAATTAACCTGGGCCACACAGCTGAGACTCAGATTAACACATTATTTCAAATCTCCAAGTTGTAAATACGATCACAGGTGCGCTCTTCAGGAAGCTCTTAAGAACTATCAATAAAGACAGGCATATTTGGTGGCAAGAGAGACATTTATGAGATGCTGTCTTCCCAGAACTAATCATTAAGTTAGCCAAGTAATTATAACTTAATTTCAGTCTCTCTGATATTGTGGAAGAAGGGAAAAAAAACTTCTTCAGGGTAGCCTGCTTTTAACTCCCAGTTGGAAACACTCATTCTTTCAGGTTTTTTAATGACTTTTCAGGAAAAAAAAAAGAGAGGTCTTGGTAGCTCTCAAAAAGAGTTTTCATAAAATAGGCCAAGCTCGCATAACTGACTTGCCAGCCACAGGTCAGCAGCTCACTGAATACTGCCATCTGATGTCCAGTTCCAAAGGTCACAAGGTAGATGCTCACACTATGCTCTCTAATTTCTGAGAAATTCAGTGAAATCGAAACATCAGATATCCGAGACCTTTATAACACTAACACAGCTCCACATAACTGTTTATAAAAATTTCACCAAAAAAAAGAAATTATTCTAAAGACATTAAGTCTGCATTATACTGAAAGTCCATTATGCCCCTGTAAGTGTTCAAGTCAGGTTGGATGGGTCTTTGACCAACTTCATTCAGTGAAAAATATCACAAAGAGCATCTAGCTCCAACCCCCCTTTAAGGGACCTTCCAACTCAACCTATTCTATGATTCTAAAACAACATGTATGTAAAGATAAATCTACTGTAATGTCTGGCTGAAGAGCTAACATTCAAGTGTTGTGAGACTCCTTTGGAGAGAAGTTTGCTTGGTTGTAGAAGAAAGCTACTTCTTAGCAAGATAAAAAGTCAACAACTCCTTCCATAAGAAATGAGCATGAACATATATTTTCCACAGGGCAGAAAACTTAAAACTTCAAATCCAGGAATATCTGGTAGTAAAGAACTTAGGAATTCCCACTGAAAATGTAAACAGAGCTTAAGCCTTCACTCAGAAAGTGTATTTCATGATTTTGGCCCATTAGAAATGATCAATGGTTCCCTCGCAATCTGCATAAAATTAGTCAGAGTTTTAGCTAAATACCATTGTAGAGGCATTTAGAGCAACACAACAAACATTAAGTTGAAAATCCTAAGTAATCAATAACAGGAGAAATCACTGCTCCTTGGAAATGCAAATCCAATCCTCTTACAACATCACTTACTTGATGAGGCAGCAAACTAATCTCCCTTTCAGATTTTGTGCCACTGCTTTTTGCCCAGGGACAGTAGAGTTTATCTGTTTAGTAGATGAAGCTCTTGTTCTTTAAAGATGTGAAGCCTCTAAGGGCTCTCTTTATACCAGCTCAAGAGGCCACACGAAGCATTCTTGGTGGCTTTGGTCTGACACCCCAATGCTCACTGCTGCTACCTTTTGCTCTTCCCACCCATTGCTACTCCACTGCCGTCACCTTTCACAATGGTTTATGCAATATTTCCAGCTTTTTAACAAGGTAAAAGTGGTATGCATAATCTTTCTTGATTACTTATCATGCCCAAAAACCCCTGTCTTTCATCTCACCTTTCCTACAGCTTCTTTAACCCCCTGTGTTTTTAGGCAAGAATACCTCAAAATTGTAACACCAGTTTTCACAGAACATGACTAAAAGCAGTCAGCTATTTCTTGGCTGAAGTATCAGCTATTTTGACCCATCAAGATTAAGCTAACACAGATAAATTTAAGGTAAACCCAAGGGTGGCACTAGCAAAAGCCTGACAAACAGTGTATAACATGCAAAGAAAGCCAACCTTATCCAGACAGCTACCTTCAGGCTCCAGCAGAGGCCAAGTGTTCTCTCCATGAGGGGACACATCTGGAATCCTCTGAAGAGCTTGGCTGCTCTTCTCCCTGTTTACATAGGATCATGTGTTAGTTCCCTACATTTTTAAGGTCTCTTGGCAAGTATTTTTCAGAAACAACAACAAAACAACAAAAATACTCCCCAAAACCCCAACAAACCATAATACCAAAAAGCAACCACCCCACAAATCCAAAAACTCAATTAAAAAACTAAACAAATAAAAAAACCCACACTAACCCACACTAATAAAAAGCATAAAATGCTGAAAAAAGCATAATACTAAAAATACAATTAGAGGCTTCAGAAGGATCCCTCAATTCATTATTATCCAATCTCACGTGTTGTTGTCAAATCTGTGTCTCAAAACCTTTGGATGCCTTGCAACATTTGTAAAAAACATACACAAAAAGTAAAAATAAGACTAGTAATGCCTTACAGAATGTTTCAACATAATAATATATTAAAAAACCTGACTACGAGTTCAAAGAAGCCCTGGTATACTACAAAATTTAGAAAGGTCCCCCTCTTGCTACTAAACTGGAGAAAGATACATTTTTATGATGCTATATGCCAGCTGATAGCATAGCACATTTCTACACGTTAAAGATCTGTTTGCTAAAGTTTTTTTTTTTTCTTCTACAAAACATTTATTTCTCTGCTCATAGCAGGTAAAGAATTTTTTTCCTCTGCCACTTAGAGCTGTGAACAAAGGCAACTAAATTCAATTCCATTACTACCTTCCTGAGTTCTGCTAGAGAAATGCATCTTATAGTACAAACCAGAGAACATTTCTTAGAGAAGACTGCTGTAAAACTTAGATCACAATTTAACCGATCTCAAAAATCAGAAAGCCATGCACATATACAGGTCACAAACCGATGATAGCGTTCTGTCAAATGGTAATTACAGATACAAAACTTAAGTCTTTAAAACACCTCATAAGATAACTCTATATTGTTACTCTCATACTATGAGGAAAGAGAAGTGCTATGACTTGCTTCAGTCAGGTGAGTCACCAGCTGAGCTGGTAAATGAACTGACTGAACTGAGCTGTAAGTCCGACATTTTCTCACCACTCCTCACAAAAAACCCAAAACAAACAAAAAACAAAAAAAAACCACCCCCAAAACCCCCCACAAACTACACACCAAAACCCAAACAAAAAAACCCACGCCCACAAAAAAACCAAAACAAGAATCTTTGCTTTTACCTGCTTTTAAAGGTAAAACATGATCTGATATAACATAAAGAAAGGTCTCCCTAACACAACTGCACAATAGTTAATCATTTGCTCTGCTGGATGACTTTGAGAACTTTCCCGTATGGTTTCATAGTAAGTTCATCCAGGCTGAGAAAGGCAAAACCAGCAAGGGAACAGCCTCGGGGTTTTTTTCCCTAGCCTTTTTTTTCCTCCTCTTTTTTTTTTTTAAAAAAACGTAATAATAAGCATACCTTAAAAGTTACCAATCATCTATTAAAATGCAGAAATGAAATATCATCATGTAATTTCAGAGTTGAATCGGTTTGCAAATTCATATTTTTTATATAACTTGGTTTTCCTTCTGTTAGCTTTAAAAGCGAGAATTTTATGCAGCCTCGTTTGACATATCTTTAAATCCTATTTTAAACGGACAGAAATTTAGACAGATATTCTCACTTAGCCATTTGCACATACTGAACACCTTCAGAGAGCTACTATGAAAATATTGCTTCACCTGCAGGAATAATTTGAAGTACAATAACTGTGGTCAAAACTTACTAATGGCACAGAGGACAACCCAAGAACATGCTTTTTTTAAACAGTGCACAATGATCTGGTTCTGTTCGAGTAAGCCTTCACGGTAGTTTTAAGAATTTGAAATTGGTCACCAACTGTATCACCAAGTTCATCCAGTCTAAGAAAGCAGGAACTGACTGTGCCCTTGTTTCCGAAGGGGGAAGGCCGCGGCCAGCAATGTTCTCGGTGTTTAACACACAGGCAGCAACAGCGGGACCACTGGGCAAAGAACTGCCGGTGGCTGGGGACAGAATTGCCTCCCTGAGAAGAAGCCCTGCCGGGTGGCGAAGGCAGAGCTGGCCGGGGAGAGCAGCCTCCCCACGGCGACGCCCCAGGTAACATCAGAGGAGGCCAAAAGACATTTCCATCGTGGCAGGGACCCAACAGCGTTAGTCCCGCTGGGTTCTGCCCCCAAGGTAACTGTGCTCGCCGCAAACGCACAAAGCAAAGAAAAAAAAAAAATTCAGTATTTTTTTCCTCTATTA